GCAATTCCAAATTTTGGATTAAAGTTTCATATACCAAGTATCGCAAAAAATTATATTAATCATAAAAAAATTGGGAGGAAGAAGTCATACTGCTGAGTATGAGATCTATTATCCATTAGTTTATTCATGAATTGTTATTTAATATACAGTAGAACTTCGATTAACAGTCACTTTTCAAGCTGCCAGTACCATCAAAACAAAATGAACAATTTATATCTGACTACACTTATGTCACAGAATAATAAACAATCGGAATGCCTACTCTGCTCGAAAAGATAAGTACGCAGACGGAATCGGCCATGTTTTAAACGGAACCAGTGCTATTCAGTGAAGTTTTATCTGTTGTGCATAGAAAAATTAACCCGGTTTAATTTATTAGACAACGATAGATATAATATGCAATATTTTATTCGTACTTTTAGTTGAAGAATAGATTACTCCGGCAACCAGAGATTACTCATAGTGATTGGTAAATCACAAAACCCCAGGCCATTAAAAAAATTGAATATCAATGTTTTACGTACCAATTATGCTGGAAAAAAGCAGTTAAATGGATTAAACTATTTTTTGTGTTTTGTTTCTGACTCAAGTTACAGCACATTTATCCGACAAACATTTATCATAGAAAGCATTGTTGGTAATGAATAATTCCAATTTTAGACAAGGTGGCTCCAATAATTTAGTATTCTACTATAGTACCTGCATATCACGGTGCTTATCATATTTCCGGTTCGTGAGGCGCCTGAGAGGTTATGTATGTTGTTGATGTAAGATGTTAGTAAATTCAAGATTATATGCACAATACGACTGGTATACAAGTCCATCTTAACGTTTCATTACCCTTATAATAACTATATTATTATATATATATATATATATATATATATATATATATATATATATATATTATATATATATATATATATTGTAGTTTTAATTATTATTAATTTTATATTATATATATATATATATATATATATATATATATATATATATATATATATAAATATATATATATATATATATATATATATATATATATATATATATATATATATATATATATATATATATATTATAATAAACACAAGGGCCACGGTAATGCAAGTACTAATCGAACCCAGTTGTAACAACTCACAGCCGCTCCTAGCCGTTGAGGGATTTACGATTTACGCTGTAACTCAAAAAATTAGAATCAACTAATTGTTATTTAGAGTTTGAAGGTAGATATTCTATTTCTTTTCTCCGTCTATTCGCTTAACCGTCGCTTTCTTGGTCCCAACAGTGACGGTAATCGAAGTTCTAATGTAATTGCTGATTGTGATATCATGTTTATTTAACTGCTTATGTTTGTAAAATATTTAAACAATATTATTTTGGATAAAAGGTCAATTCATTGTATTTGCTAATTTTCGGTTAATTGCCGATTCAAATGTATGCTGGAATGTGATTCAAATTTAAGTTGAAATGTGAGCCAAATATTGTCAGTATTGTAAGTAATATATGTTAGTTTTGTTGTATATGTTTAATTTTAAATAAATAAATAAAATTGTTTTGAGTTCACCTATGGGCATTTTGTGTAATTTATAAAATAATACGCCTGGATTTGATGAAATAGTTGGTCTGCTAAATAGTTCAACAGAACATGTTATCTCTTCAGGAGTAAGAAAACAGATGAAACTGATGACGACACTACCAAAGCTTTAGAGTCTACACGGATATCATACATGATACAGTATACATCACAACTTATTAAATTAAATTAAACAAAAGAAAAATCAAACGATTTTTACCTGGCGAAATCGAATTCAAATTTTGACCACCATGCGTTCTAAAACTTGCAAAGCAAACAGCTTGGTAAATAACTCGACAAGGAAATCTAAGATTGCATTCCACATGTCATTTATCATGGTCAAAATTCGTAGTGAATTTAATTTCTACTCCAAACAGAGTAAAGAAATAAAATATAAAGACGGTACTAGACAATACAGAGCGGCGGCAACCGCTTATACGTATTTCGACCTCTTTAGATCTCGTTAGAGCGATATAACCACCTCTCTGGATCGAAACAAAATCTATTCCCGTCTTAAACAATAGTTATAAAATAACTATATACGGACGTAACTACGCCATCTAATAAAAAAAAAGAGAAATCAAACGATTTCTACCTGGCGAAATCGAATTCAAATTTGACCACCGTGCTTTCTAAAACTTCCAAAGCAAACAGCTTAATAAATAACTCGACAAGGAAATCTAAGATTGCATTCCACATGTCGTTTATCATGGTCAAAATGCGTAGTGAATTCAATTTCTGGTACTCCAAACGGAGTAAAAAAATAAAATATAAAGACGGTACTAGATTTTTGTTTCAATACAGAGCGCGGCAACAGTTTATACGTATTTCGACCTCTTTAGATCGTTTAAGATGGGAATAGATTTTGTTTCGATCCAGAGAGGTGGCTATACCGCTCTGACGAGATCTCTCGATCAAAAGGTCGAAATATGTATAAGCGGCTCCCGCCGCTCTGTATTCAAACAAAAATCTAGTACCGTCTTTATATCAATTAATCAAAAAATTTTATTTCAAATCCTTTATAAAAGGTATTTAATAGAATGCCCAAACGGGCTATCACAAATATATTACAAAACGTTTTCGGATTGTTAAATCAGTCATCAGTGTAAACAAGGTATACATGCTATGAGCCACCAAAATATATGGGTGAAAACCCGTTAAATGTTATAAATTTATAGTTGTTTTACATTATATATAATAACAAATTAGGATGTTTAAGTTACCGTTGGAATTGGTAACATAGCGACTTATGACCCTACATAGGTTAAATGGTCCTGAGACGAAGTGTCTTCGAGGACCTGTTGGTAACAACTGGGTAACAACTCCTAACAGGAACTTAGTTTCCTAGTAGAAATTAATCAAGTTTAAAATAGTCTTAACCGAGCTCTAAAGAATTTATAGAAATAGATTTTTTATTTAATTTAATCAGTATTTCAATAATTAATCGAAGGTAATAAGTTGATGTCATCTGTTTCTTTGAAATAAAAAAAATATCAGTAAGATAATACAGACTAAATTTTATTCATGGTTTATAAAAGTATTCGATCAATTCGAGCGTTAAGTAATACCTGCGCATCAAGACTTTTCTAGACAAATCTACATTTCTCTTCGTACGCATTTAAACGGTATGCACGGCAGAATTGAATTTGCCGATGCTTCATTAGTATTGACCAATATTGTCAAATTAAATGTTATTTCAGCATATGAAGTACGTGATAGTGCACTGACTGGCTTTCCTGAGAGCGTCTCAATATCGATCGATTCGTTTTAGTTTTTTACTAGTTTAATTTTATAGTAAAACTGTGATAAGTTATCGTTGCCGTAAATAGTTGGTTTTTTGATACATTTGAAGTTTTTTCATTTTTTAAATTAAAGTGTAAACAAATTCAGGCAAATTAACTAAAAATATGCAAGATATGGGAGAAACTGTAGGCACAGATAAATCTGATATTGTAAATTATATATACAAAGAAGGTTGCGTTTCGATTTAATTTGAGTCTCTTACCGCTCCCTGACACGTGTTTCTGGGTCTACCCGTCATCAGAAGGAGTTTGTAAGAAGACTCAAATCAAATCAAAACGCACCGATTACTCTGGCAATTACAGGAGAATAACTACCAGAGTATGCAACTAGAGACCTATAGTGAGGAAAGATGAAGATACGTCGATAGCAATTAAAGTAGACTGTATACCCAAGCTTAATCAAGCCATTCAGAGCGGTGCTGAGAATAATTATATTTCACTATGCACCAACAATTTACCAATATAAATTACCATCATTCTTGTACTCGTTGCGTTGAGTAAGGACGATAAATATACAAAGAAGGTTGCGTTTCGATTTAATTTGAGTCTCTTCTGTAATTGCCAGAGTAATCGGTGTGTTTTGAGTCTTCTTAAAAACTCCTTCTGATGACGGGTAGACCCAGAAACACGTGTCAGGGAGTGGTAAGAGACTCAAATTAAATCGAAACGCAATGGTAATTTATATGGGTAAATTGTTGGTGCATAGTGGAATATAATTTACAAAGTAATAGATTATTTTCGGATAATTGGTACAGCAAGTACTCATGACCTACCGGGAGTGAAATAAAAAACAAACTTTTTTGTTGGCCTTGCATCTTATTTCCAATAAACAGGGCAAACATCAAAATTCGTGGTGTGAATCTGGTTACGATAATTTAAAGTAATTATTTAGAGCTTTACAGAACATGATATTTAGAAAGATCATACATACAGCCAGATTAAAATTAGATTTATTTGGAAAACAAAATATCTATGTTTCACTACATAATGTCCAACGTGAAAATGCTATTAAACATAACGAAATTGTAAAAAATAATCACGCAGTTTTACGTCGTTTAATTGATAGCAGTTAATAGAATCAATTAGTTACATTTTGAATAATGTTGAACATTCAGGAAACCATTTGCTTTTCGGTAGAAGTAGATGAAACTACTGATATATCATGTCATTCACAATTATTCGATACGCGTTACTTGGTAATATTTATGAGAGGAAGGATTTTAATGTTTGGCGTTTGAAGTATTTTTTATTAATCATATTGTTCTGAAGATATGTCCTACTATTATATTATTTATCTATGCATATGTCAAATAATTTGTTTTATAATTATGCTTTATTTGTAACAATATTGTTTATAAAAAAAATAAGGAAATACTAGAACAATAATATTAATAAGTAGCTAAGACAACCATCCATTAGGGAGTTATTTTTTCTGTTTTGTGGGATCCACAAGAATTAACACTTTATAGATATAATTAATTTTATTTATTTTTTAATGATAATCAATAAATATATACAATTCGTAAAGCTTAAACTATTTAAGTCTTCAAAATAAAGTAAATTATATATAACTTCGATAAACTTAATACATTTGATAATAACTTTAGTCTTGATAATACTTAGCCGATTTTTATAATTTCGTATAGGATAATCTCATTAAAAATAATCATAACAATGCTAAAACGTAGAAATTCAGATATGATATAAGCTTAAGTCTTTAGATTCGAGAGAAACATTTTAGAAACTTATTTAATAAAAACTGTTTTTTTCATATGAAAAATAATAGTTATATATCGGCCAAGTAAATTTAATGATATTATCGTTTAATAAGTCTACAATTATATATTTCCTAAAAACTTGTTTATTAAATATAAAGCGATCCATCTGCAGGCCCCAAATAATGCAATGATATTAATATAACATCGATTATAGTCCATACGCCAAGCCCACCAAAACTAAATAATTTGCCGATTCCTTCTTGCCAATGACCCAAATAGAATCTGTCGGCTCCAAAGCCGCCCAACGCTATGCTTAAAGCGAGGGTCGTCGACCACCTGTATCCACCAGTCCAGTTGCATAATAATTTCTTCTTAAACGATCTCAGTCCTAGAATGAAATTAAGTGCATTTATAATAAATGTTTCCAAATATTTAAGCGAAATACCTACCTAAACATACAATATCATCCTTTACAGTACAATTTGTTACGTAATATGATCGAGGAGAAGTAACGGAATTGCAGTTAGCTGATAAATCACAATCATGTTCCCAATGTTCTGTCTGATAGCAATATCGACATATGTAGCTCCTCTGAAAATTTCTAACACCCTAAAAATTAAAACATTCAAAATATACTAATTTTTATTATACATAAATGTAGAAAAACCAATAGTGGCTACTAACCACGGGGGATTACTTAAATTGGTTCTATAAAGAGGGGGTTTCTATTCAGAGGTCAAAATTAAAGATTTACAAAACAGGTGACTGACATTTAATTTCTTTTGGTTATATTTTTATTTTGCATTCTGAACTATTTGTGTTAAAATTAGGTAAGTGCATCCTCCTTAAGTATTTATGCCTTATAAGTTATAACAAGTTTTGGAAGATCTAAAAACCTCATAATGCAGACCTAAAAAAAGGTTCTTAGCGGTAGAAATGGATTGTAATGGATTCTATAAGAAGCGCAAAATATCAAGAATAAAAAAGCGAAATAATGAGGAAGTAAGAACTCGAATAAAAGCAGAAGAGAAACAGTGATGAACCTAATAGAAAAACGACCCTTGAAGTGGTTTGACACTACTGACATTGATTAAGAATACCAACGAGCGAGAGTCTATAAATATAATTCATTGGGGTTTACCAGAAAAAAGAATATGAGTAGACCACGTACATTATGAAATGAGAACATCAGAAGAATAATTAATGACTTAAACCGACGATAAAAGAATTCCTTGAATAGAGAGGGTTGGCGAAGGGTGATGCGAATCCGAGATACAAGTGCTAAGGTTGACCCAACACATCACAGAGGGATTCAACCAGAAAAAATACACTTCTACTTGCATTCCTAGACGTCAGTAAGGCATTTGACAGAGTGTGGTACGAAGGTCTCATCCACAAAATGAGTCAACTTGGATATAGCAAGGCAATGGCATCGTCGTACCAATAGAAACTTCACGATTCCAATAAGACACGTCTGAAGTCGGAATGATTAATGCTAGAGTGCCACGGATAGGAGTACTGTCACTCTTTCTGTATACGATTTACACTGCGGACACACCAACCAATCCACGAACCATGCTGACTCTACATGCCGATGACACAGTGATAGCCGCGAGAGGTCTGGATCCAAACTTAGCGGGAAGATGGCAACAACATGCGCTAAATTACTTGGAAGATTAGTACATTTAATGAAAAAACGTAGTAAATCCAGAGAAATCACAGGCAGTCATTTTGGGAAAAAATTATTGAAGTCCAGAACGTCAAGTGGGGATGTTCAACGCACACATAGAATGGTCCAACCATGCAAAATACTTAGGAATGTTAATGGAAAAGGAATGACATACACACCATATGGAAACAGAACTGTCAATAAGAGTGAGATCTCAAGAAGCACATTAAGACCTCTTATAAGAAGAAATAATACCAGCCATAGCATATGGATCAGCATCTTGCGGCAAACCTGAAAAGTCAATAGGAAAAAGATCCAAATATCTTACAACAAGTAAGTCACATAATAAGAATCGGAACTCAACGGGATGACATAGCACTGAATCTGGCAAGTCAGGTTAGAACAGGTTAGTTAGCCAAATCAGCGGCTAATCGTCCGACACACACAAAACCTCTATAAGGAGATCCAGTGACCAACGCCACTGGTTCGCAGGACCATACTGAAAACGTTAAATCAGATAGTGTACTAAACAGTAATAAACTTAAAAATAAAAAATTAATGTAAAAGTCTAATTTGAGATCTTTATTAGACATTGTATGTCATTTTTCAAATTTGTTGTACGTCAAATTCATTAGTAAGTAACTAAAATTATGGCTAGTTTAGATTCACTGATGCTCCCATGTTATCAGAGCTTCGATAATGTTTTGAAAGAAAAAAATTATTTAAGAATTTTAAGTTCAAAAGACTTTGATGTTAGAAGGTATCAAATATACACATACACTGCATGTAACTCCTTGCTCCGGCTCACAAGATGTGTCTAAGGTTTCTCCATATATGCACTTTTCTGTCAAATTACATTTTATACAAGATCCTTTTAAGTCTTGGCATTCTAAATGTGTTGGACAGTGAAGAATTAAGTCACTCTGAAAAAAAAAAAGAATAATAAAGTAATAATACAAGTAACAATTAATTTTCGCTCAAAACTCTTCTCAAATAATAAAACTGTTCTTTAGCAACAGCTGATATAAATGTTAAATATCTAGATCTATATGACTAAATTATTATACATTTTACCTATATGCTCCTATATACATACCAGGTGATCTCCAATATTAAATTATAACAGAAAAATTCAAACCTAGAACAAGATTGTGTAGAAACCAAGAAGGACCAAGACAGGAAAAATAAGTTTAAAAAACTCATTTCCAAGCTCTGCTAGGAACACAAGAGAATGAGTAGCCTTTGGACTTCTATCTAGCATATAGAGGGGGAGGATGAAGATATAGAACCCTCTACTCTCGAAGAGATCAAACAAGCAATATGGATGGAAAGAAACTAGAAGACATCAGGAATTGACAGTCTTTTGTCTAAACTGGTAACCCAGATATGAAATGACAGAAAACTCCTGGCAATTGAAAAAAGATCTTTCACCAAACCTACAAAAAAGGGGGATAAACTAAAAGGTAAAAATTATAGTAAAGCAATTTAAGCAGTAAAAAGCCCAAAACCTACCACTTTTGCAATAGGACGAATGTCAATGAAACTGTTTCCATTAGATTTTTAAGAGTGTCAGGAAATTTTATGAACAAAAATGATATTGTGGAAATGAAGATTGTGCCTCACACATCATCACTGACATGACAGTGTTCAGAGAACCCAAAAACCACTGAGTAATGAGTGCACTGATTTTGTATCAACATTCCACAAAACTCAGGGAAACAAAGCCGGTAGTGAACACTAGGTGTCTTGTACACAATTGTTGATTCCTTGACCCTAAAAACTCCAAGTAGTACTATTAACTCATTTCTGGGAATTATTTCCAATTTACAAATTTATCATTTCTTATCACTTTGAAATGGACTTTGGAAATGCAGTTTCCTTGTTAAATAATGCAATTTCCATTTCCACATTATCATTTTTATTTATAAAATTTTCTGATACTCATACAAGTATCAGGAAAGTCATACGAGTATCATATGAGTTTCATTGAGGTCTATCCCTACTGCAAAAATTTAATAGGTTTATTTCATTGCCTTGCCTAGAAGCTCAACTTAAAAAATTGTTATATCTATCCTCAATGAGCTGCTTTATTTTTAACTAAAAATATTATAGGTGAATATCAAATTGACACTCAAAAAGGGTTAATTGATCAGGCTCTTCACAGTAAAACTAATTCTAAATCAAGGTGGAAAATACCACATTGACATCCAGAATGTCTTCTTCATCGATTTCTGACAGGCTTATGACTCAAGACAAGCCAGATATGTAACATACTAAATAAATATTACATCCTCTCCAATTATAAAAATAACTAATAAAAGTAGATGTGCATGTAACATCTTTTAAGTAGTGAAAGATCTACAAGGCGATGGGTTTGCCTCAACTGTTTTCAACCTGGCTCTTGAATATGTCATTAAACAGATGAATCTTAGAAGAGCAAAACTCCTAACAAAAAAATCAATACAACTTACTGCATATGCTGATGGCATTCTAAAAAATACCATACAAAAATAAAAACACTAAAAAACATAGAAAATAACAAGAGGAAATAGAAATCAAATTAGAGTAAGGGATGCAATAAACAGCTTCACATATCAACTTGCTGAATCATATTTCCCAAGATTAAGATATATAATTATAAACCCATACTTTGTTATGAACACAAGACATGGCTTCAGCTAGAAAAATCAGTTTTATTAAAAGTAATCATGAGAATCATTTGTCAGAAAAATAATGTATAAAAATATTAATGAATCCTTTTCAGAAAGTTCAGAATATTTGAAGTCGCTTTGGACTGGGAAGATTCTCTTATTTCATGTGTCACAATTTTATGTTTCTTAAAAGTATATTATTTAATGAATAAGTGAGCTGTTTTTTCTAGTATTGCCTTAAATGTTGTTCATATTTTCAGGCTGTTGGTATTTTCTTAACAAACGGTGTCAAATTGATATTAGGTCTTTGTTTAGATTAAGGAAGTTATTTTCTCCAAAATATTTTTTCAGTATTTTACTGTTATAGATCCCAAAAAAGTATTTGGCTCTGAAGAATGACCTATCATCACCTTATTTTATTGTTTGCTTAACATATCTTTTTGAAACTTTAATCACACATCTGTGGTAAAAATCGACATAATGCATGAAATTCCAGCTTTATATGATGACCTATTTTTAAAATAGAATAATTATAACTATGACAGGACTTACTAGATTATAATGTATTTTTTTTTCAAAACTTACATTTGCTGTATCACTCTTTTTATCATTGGTTTGATCTTGTCCTGTGGGATTTTGATCTTCTGAAAAACGCAAATTGTATCATCAATGATGAGGAAATAACTCTAACTTACCCATTTGAATATGATTTGTTAAAATTGTAAGAAGGATAAACGTTGCTTTTCTTATATTTATATGCATACATTTCATTTTTCATGATATTATCACATGTAAACCTGCAACTTATCAATAACTTGTAAATAAAATAAATATAATAATATAACCTAATTTTTTGACGTTTTGTCAGCTGAATCACAGTATACCTAAAAAATTGTTAGGTATACTGTGAATGAATAGTGTATTTTGTTCCTGTGGGTACACAGCCAATTTACAAATAATCTGACTGAATAAAGATTCGTCGACGATGGTATTATAATTCTAGAGGATATTTTAGAAAGGGTCTAATCGATTCAGATGTTAAAAAAGTATCCTTAAGATGTATAGGTAGGTTTAAAGCTTACCAAATTATTTCACATGTTCCACTGAACAGAGAATACAACTTTTTCAAAAAAAACTGTTCTCCTCAAGCATAGACAAGAAGTGGAACAAATTTGACTTAGGGGAAAGGGGGGAATAGTGATCGCCTAAGTATTTTGGTTTATTTGTACTGCTCATGGAGCAAAAAGACAAAAGAGGGAATCTAATCGTTATGAAAAGAAGACCAAAAAAGTGACCTCTGATGGCGGACATATCCGGAAATGCAAATGCGCCAAATTTAAATTTTCCGACACTTATTAAAAGTAGCTATAAAATAGTTTTCAGAATGTGTCTTAGACGAGAAACTTTAAATAAATATTAACGATAACGGTCTAAAGTCTGACACAATTCTTAAAAAACTTCAATATAAATAAGATTTCATGTGACAGTTGGGACAAACAATAACATAACCCAACTTAATTTGATTTCTTAAACAAGGAAAGACTCTCTTTCCTTGTTTAATGTGGCCTCTCAAGATGGCACTTCCTGTCTAACAATATTTTTGCCCCCACTACCTTTACATTCCCTCTTTTGTCTTTTTGCTCGATGGTACTGCTCATCGATGGTACTGCTACATAGCTTTAAAGGTTATATTGTTAAGGTAAATAAAACTTCAAACCTTTAGTATTTCAAACTCTATTCACAAAATATTTTTAAACAGAACAAAAAAAAAATTAAAATGTTTTTTCAAACTTCTGCTGGTGGCCATATTTACCCGCTGCCGAGGGTAAAAGTGGCCACTGCCACTATTACCCCTATTTAAAAAATAATTAAATGCAGAAATCGCAAAATGTAAATTTTGCATTCAAAACTGGTACAGTCTTTGGGTACCCATTAGCCGCAAATGCTGCATTGGATCCAGAGTTCTCTGTTTTTACCGAATTCTCCACAAATTGTGAAAATATCTTTGTTAACGTCTCTATCATGGTCATCGTCATTATTCTCATCTTCTGATGATATATCTTCTGTGTTCTTATACAACTTATTTTTGGAACTATTCGCGGAGGACTGGACTTTTCGATGCCTATTTTTCGTTTGGTTCCTTTGCTGGCTTTATCATTTTCTTTTCCTTTTTCAGCTGTTTTTCTTCTAGAAGTAACTTCATTGGTGTTGATGTCATTATTTCGGAATGTTGCTTCCTGTTGCTTTTGTGGTTGGATCTTTTATTTCCAACTGACTCATCTTTTGAGGATCCTGGTAGTGGAATTATGTCAACAAAAGATACTTCTAACTTTTTGTCATGTGTCGAACTTTCTTTATTCCCCTTAACTTCCTTATTATTCTTCTTATCTAATCCACTTTTTTCTCTTGGATAGTATCTTTTTATCTTTTTTCTTGTATGAATAATTCACCTAGAGCAAAGTCTTCATCAATAAAATTTTCATAATTATAATATGGAAATATGTCTATAATCCTGTATTCTCAAAAATTTAATGGCTTTGACTGGTATTTCTCCGCGACCGTATGAATTTTTAAATATGTCAGCTATTTAAAATGTCCTGATACGCTCATGAGAATGACTTTAAAGATAATTGCCACATTCAATGTTATACGCTGATTTTAACGATGAGTAAAAAGCTACATCCAGCGATGGATGGAGTCGATGCGATGTGTGCGGGGGTATGGTTAACATAATATGTAATTCCACGTTCGTTACAGAAATTATGTCTCTAATGTACAGTGGCTACTGTGATTGTCGACGATTAACAAAACTGGATCCTTATTTGAAGGTTTTACAACACTGTAAAAATGGATGGAGCCATTCGAGAAATATTTACTTATTTATACACCCATTATCCGAGCAGCAGTAGCCTGCACCAGGTGGTCCATTTTTCTTTAATTCTGGTTTGATCCTTTTGCGGGCATAAATAAATAAAGGTGGAATATATTTTTCTGAGGCGCTTATGTAGCACATAATGTTTGTTGTTTGACCTCCTTCTGCGCTTGTAATAAAGCTGACTGTTTTTTGTCCCTTTTCAGCAAGTATTTTTCCGGGGGTTTGGATAGTTGTTATGCCTGTCTCGTCTGCATTATATATTTTGGATGCCGAAAATTTATATTTATCCAATATGGATTTTAAATTAGAAAAAAAAAGGTTTACTTCAGTTTTTTTAAAAGCAGATATGAGGTTAATACTTGTCGCCTCCGGTTTTCTTAATCGAATAGTTCGATTTCTTTTAAGGAAGCCGCCAACCCAGTCTCTTCCAGCAATTCTGTTTCTTTAGAAAATGAGTAATGTAAATTTTATTCTTCAGCGTATTTATAGGCACATTTTTTTATTTCTGTGAGAGTTACCCCATAAAAATGTTTTGATAACTTTATGACCTATGCTTTGCCAAAACTTCTTTCTTTGGTAAATACAGAATTACGACCTAAAGAAGCAGCTGTTGTATCATTTCGCTTTAGTCGTAGTTGAATTGTAGATCTGAGAATTGTAAAACTTGTTGCAACTTCACGGACGCTTCTGCCATTATTTATTGCATTTATTGCTGCACTATAAGTTGCTCAGCATTCCATCGTGCTTTGTCACTTTTTCTCTTGTAAAATCGAGGCATCTGAAATATAAGAATTTATAAAGAAATACTTTGTATTATATAAATATAATTTGGGGGTAATAGTGGCCGGCCAGCATTACCTCCAGCCGCGTGGCTATTGCAACTCCAAAATACATATTTATACTGATCGATCATTAATCACTTAAATTAGAGCAAGCAATTATTATATAGTCTATTGTAATTATGCAGCTAAATAATAGTATATTACATAACGAGAGTTGTAAGAAGCTTATTACATGCGAGTAAAAAAGTTGCGCGCGAGCCGCGTAGCGGCGAGCGCAGTAATTTTACAATCATGTAATAAGCTTACAACTCAAGTTGTGTACTATACTTTTTCTACGATTATTTTCGTTTATAAAAATAAAAATTAAATTACCACTATATTTACACTGACAGATTAATAATTTTTAATCTGTCAAAATAACGTCTGTTAATTCGTTTCCATGGTAACTCGACCAACTGACTTACGAGGCTTATGCGATATTACACATTTTTATAAAACTGAAGCGTAATTATTTTTATTACGTGCTAGTCATTAGGTACGTGTCAGTATCTGTTATGATGAATTTACTTAGCATCCAAATAGTAGGTAATATACAATTTACTAGTAAGAGAGTAGAAAAACTTAATTACATACTTCTGCATACCTTTAAAAATCTTGCACTAATACATCAACTCTAAACTATAACAAAATATGACATTTTCAAAAATTCCTTCTTTGTCCGCAAAAGATCGTCATTGTTTTAGGTACCCTTTGAACGAAACACTGTTAATGATAGCGCAACAGGTATTAATCGCGAAATAATATTAAACCAAGCCGTAAATGTAAATATTTCATGGCTACCATTACCCTAGTGGCCACCATTCCCCCTTTTCCCTAAATATGACAAGTGATTTCTTGGCGAAACGTCTAATATTTCAAGCATCACACATCGACAAACCCCAGATGAATGATATAAATAATGCACCTTGCCTTAGAGGGGTCTTTCAAATACCCGACCGTACATATTTAAATCTTCAAGCAAAATTGTCTTTTTGCTCAATGATTAAAATATACTTCTATGTTATTATATACGTCTATGATACCCATCAGTCTCAGTCAGGAAATCAACTCCCACAAATATGACATCAAAAGGTCTTCTTCTTTTTATAATCAGATACGTTTTCCATTTCTTGAAAGAAAAATTCTAGAGTTTTGAAACTTAACCCGTAGGTTCTTCTTTGTATAAAGAAATGTATTAAATTTAGTGTTAATAGGTCTTCTTCTTCATTTTATGCGTTTTTTTTTCTTAAACGGAAAATCCTAGATTCTTGAAACTTGGTATATAGGTTTCTTTTGGTTTAATGAGGGGTAATGTAGAAATTGTCTTAACAAGCCTTATAATTGTTCTGATGTTGTCTTTTCTATTTGTTGAAATACAAGTCTAGGATCTTGAAATTCTACATATCTTTGCCACGTAACAAATATAAATTTTGCCACTTCGTCTTGCATTGAGAAAGAACTTTTTGTATTTGGGATCAACAAATAATTTTGGTTTTTTTTTATTTTTCTTGATTTAAAAGAGAACCTGTTAGAACCTCAGAATCTCTATTGAATCTGAGGTGAATAAATCTTATTTTTTTTCTTATGTAATAAATCCTATGTTTTTCCTTTTTCTTAAGGAAAAAGATCTGATTTTTTAAACTTGGTACCTACTTGACTTCATTTTGGGGAAAGGGAGTTGAACAAGTTCTATTATACTTAGGGCAATAGGTTTTCTTCTTCACATATTCTTATGCCTTTTCTTTTTCTTGGAGGGAGAATCCTAGAGCGTTTTATGGTATTCTTGACAAGTGATCGCATAAAAATTCATACGGTACACAAAAACTTGTTCAGCAATCTGTTCAAGGTAAATTTGTTTTTGGTCTGCATTCTTTGTTTATTTCATATTTATCTTAGACGCATTTTTTAATATATTCTTTCACTGGTTCCATCCATAATATCTTCAGTCTGCTTTTATTCCTAGGAGTATTTAAGTACTGTCTTAGGAAAAATTCTGACAAAACCTCTATAAAAATTGTAAACCATTGACCAATATACTCTTTTCTGATCCTATTACCCTTTTCGATGCTTGTAATGCAAAATCACTTTTAATAATAAATTATGAACAAGTTTATTTTACGAGTTTTATTGTTTAGGCACATCATTTTACATAGGTCATG